CCCCCCCCCCCCCCCCCCCCCGGTTTTTTCTTTTTTTTTTTTTTTTTTTTTTTTAAATCATCTCTCTGTTTCCCCCTTTATAGATACTTGAAGGTCCATATAGGCCTGTTGTTATCAGAGCTGCATAGGAGTTACATGGATAATATAGGTCTGCATAGTGTCATTTGCCTGAGATCCTGCATCCAGCCTTCCACCCTAGGGCTAGAAGAGATGTCTTTCTTAGATAAGGTGAACAGAAGTAGCTATCACATAACACAGAATAGGGTAGAGATTCTGGGCCCCCAAGTTTGACAGCTTGGATGCAGTGTGATGGAGTGACTTGCAGAGACAATGTGAGGGCCTGGGGGATGTAAGCCAGCATCCCTTTCCTGAGCAAGGTCTCTGGAGCTGGCTCATCTTAGCACAGGCCGCGTGGAGACCAGGGGGTGGTAGTTTGACAGCCCCTTGAGTAGGCAGGTAGCCCAAAAGTGGAGAAAACGAAGAAGTGAGGATGGACAGCTGTATCTCCTAAGACTAAAGCATTTTCTATGTGGCCCCAGCATGTCAAAGCCTCATCACCCTCCATGGGGATATAGCAGAAGTGGGAAGAGAACTCCTGGGAAAGGTTTTGCTTTGGGGTTAAGTCCATACTCATCTTCCATTTTTGTCACATATTCTTCCCTCTCTTGGGATTTGCTGGCATTTCAGATGCACGCCATGTGACATTCATTCTCGTATCGGGCCCAGAGAAGCAGGAGGAACAAGGGAGAACCCCAGCTGTCCCCAGATTCCCAAGACAGGGTGTCCACGAAGTGACAGGGAGAGAGGCAGCCCCCTCTCTCTTTCAGCAGACCTGGCAGGCTGCGTTGAAATTGCAACACAGCCAAGCCTCAAAGTTGCAACACAGCCAAGCCTCAGAGTTACAACACAGCCAAGTGGCTCACACTGGCACTAGGCCATAGGGAGAAGTGCTGTAGTCCATGCTAGGTAGACAGGAGACGACGTCAACAGCCTCAGCTCCAGCTGCCATGCCTCCCCACCATAGTGGAACTTTGCCTTCAAACTCAGCCAGAATAAAACCTTCCTCCCTTAAGTTGCTTTTGTCAGGTATTTTTGTCGCCAACAATGAAAATATAACTAATATAGAGTCCTTACTCTATCCCATCCTCCTTACAAGGAACTTTGAAAGAATTATATTTGCTGGGCAAGGTGATGCACACCTTGAATCCTAGCACTGGGAAGGCAGAGGCAGGAGGACCTGTCTGAGTTCAAGACCAGCCTGATCTGCAAGGTAAGGGTCAGGCTAGTCAGGGATATGTAGGGAGATCCTGTCTCAAAACAAAACAAAATAAGCCATTTACATTCATTTGTTTGTTTATATATTGTGTGTGCTTGTGCACATACTGTACTGTACACATGGAGGTCAGAGGACGACTTGTGGGTATTAGTTCTCTCCTTCTACCTTGTGGGTCCTGGAGATGGATCTTCAGTTGTCAGGCTCAGGCAGCAAATGCTTTTACCGGCTGAGCTGTCCCACCAGTCTTACAAGGAACTTTGGTGTATGATTTCTTTTGAGTCCTTGCAGTAACCCTAACAAAGTGGCCATTGTCATTATCATCCTCATTTTGCAGCTGGAAAAACTGAGGCAGAGAGATTAAGCCAATATTGTGACATGATGGAAGCCCAGCCTGCTGTTTGGACACTGTCACAGCATCTAGAAAATGCAAGTGGCCAGGTGTGAGGACCCAGAGGACTGATGATAATCCCAACAGCTGTGCTTACTGCAGGTTCAGTCTGCCTGGTAGGTTTCTTGGTTGTGTCCCCAGCCATCCCTAGACCCGGGTGATAATGATGCTCTCATTGTACAGATGAAACAGACGTGCAAAATTTTGATCACATAGCTAGAGGGAGGTGGAGGCTGGAATCAAATTTAGGCCATCCAGCATCAGTGGGCTTAACTACCACCATGTGACACATCCTGAAGGCCTTAGATCCGAATCTGTCAGGGATGCTTCTTGGGGACTTGTCTGTGGACTGTGTTTGAGTGGTTGTGTGTGTACTTGTGTGTTCTCAGCCTCCCTCTGATGTTTCTGCCTGTCAGAAGTACTATTTGGCTTATGACAACTGTCTTTGCTGTTCTGGATGAGGAATGGCCTGGGCTGAGTTCCTGGAAGGAGATGGGGTGGGGGGGTCAGTTTCTGACAGCCCCTCAGCTTGGGCCACATGGCTCCTGTTGGAATATTTGCCCCTGACACTGGGCTCCAATCCATGGATTTACAGCTTGTCACAGGTAGCTACAGCACTTCCTGAGTGTCTCTTCCATCTTTTTCATGTTCAGAGGGGGAAACTGAGCCCAGGAAACAAGTTGCCTGGGGTTACAGAGAGCAGGGACTGGCAGGGGCTGGCATCTGGCCTGGCTGCCATTCCCTTTGTAATAGTCAGAATAGGGGTGAGACTGGACAAGGACAGACACACAGTCTGCTTTCCAGAAAGGCAGTGTGCCAGGCTTGCTGAGACATCCATTGTGTGGGTGGGGATGGACTTCTGAGTAGGCTAGCCTGGAATAGGTGTCATAGGGTGACCCTGACCCCTGCCTTCTCTAGATGAGGCATGTCCTCTTCTGTTCATATATCCTGGGCGGGTCATGCTGGCCCAGCTTCAGAGAGACCATGGACAGACATCTCCAATGGAGGAACACCCTTCTCTTCCTTCCGAGCCTCCTCTGGATGACCTTGGCCCCTGGGCCATGTGTTTGTGTTTCCTGACATCCTCAGTGTGGCTCCACCTAGAATCTGAGCAGAGGACTTATCTCCCAAGAGAAAGCATTGTTCCTAACATGGATTCAGGTCCAAGAGAAGCCATTTGTTTCGGGCTCTGGCCTCAGGAACTGGCTGGTAAGCCAAGCTTTGATCAGCCGCCTTTGGCAGTATAGTCAGTTTTGGATGGGAAGGAGCCATCCCTAGAATAGGAACGGCCTTCTTCACATCCTCTGCTGATGGAAAAGACGTTTCTTCTCTTTTCAGGACCCATGGGGAGGAGCCAGCTGGATCAGAACTAAAGAACAAGCATGTGCTTTGGCACCCTCTGAAACGTAGGGTCCTAAGTCAGGGCTCTGAAAAATTATATGGCAACTTCAGAGCCTGGAGGCTGCTTTGCCTGGGGTCCTGATGGTATTCTTGGGACCCATAGAGATCTGAGCTTGTTCTGGGAGAGGCCAAGAAAGCCTAGGAGACAGGAGACCTTCGCTCTAGCCCTGGTGCTACTAGAAGACAACTGAGTAGGGCAGACACTTGCCTTCAAACTCTCGGCTTTCTGTCTACAGACAAAAGAGCTGGGACCAGAGGCCCTCCAAAGGTCTTCGTCTTGAAGGCATGAAAAGTCTCCTGGGGAGGTGTGTGGCACAGGTTATTTCTGACTGTATTCATGGACAGTGAGGCCAACAGATGAGGATACCATTGCCATTGCAGAGTTCCCAAGAGGAGGGGCATGGTAAGCCATGCTGCACCAGACCACTGGGAGTGGAGAGGGGAGTGTGTGATGAACCTTTGCTGTGGTTTGTGGGGAAAGGGATGGGAGAGGCAGGGCAGGGGTCGCACAGCTTTAGGGTTGGAAATAGTTTTAGTGGGCTCTGCACTGTAGAGGGATCTGCCATTTCTGATTCCTGGTCCCAGAGATACCACTCTGGACTACAGGAGGGAGAAAAAAGGCAAGCAAGGGACTGTGGCCTCTGGATGGGCTGAAGAGTGAACAGTGAGTTAGCTCTTTCTGGGGACTGGTCAACCTGGGCCGACTTCACATCCCAGGGTCTTTGAGGTTACAAGCTGTCAAAACATTATAAAACACAGAAAACAAAGTAAAAGAGTGCCAGTTCAGGGTGAGACTGCATGAATTAAAGACAAGCAGCCCCACAGACGGCTCACCAGGGCATAAAGCTTAGATTAGCCCTTCCTGCCCTGTTCTGGCATCTCATCAGGCAACCGTGGGGAGCAGGCTAGATTTAGCAAATTAAAACATAGGATGACCTATTAACCTTGAACCTCAGATGAACAGTACATAATTTGTTAGTATGGGTATGGTCCATGCAACACTTGGGAGAAACGTGCTAAAATTTAACTTACCATGTTTTCTGAAAAAAGTCTTATTCCATTCAGGCTGTTTTAACAAAAAACCAAAAACCAAAAATCCCTACTAGCTGGACATCAGCAGAACCCCAGAGGTTCATTTCTTATGGTTCTGGAGGCTAGGAAGCCCAAGATGGGAGAGACTGACTGATTGTATGGGCAAGGGCCATCCATTTACCTGTTTATTAAGTGGCCATCAGCTTACAGGTCTGCAGAAATGGCAGAGTTCTCTCTTGGGCGTTTTTTTATAAGGCCACTAATCCCAATCATGAAGGCACCACCCTCACGATATAACCATCTTCCAAAGTTCTGTTTCCACTCTCCTGGGGCTGAGGGTTTCAACACAGGAGTTTTGGGGGTGGCACATAGTTACCAGGACGGTCGCATATTAATGGTAGGAACACCAGGCCTGACCCCTTATGCCTCGTTTCCTCTTCTGACCATACCTTGTTCTAGGGTTTTTACCTATAGTTATCCTGGTCATGGGGTAAGACGAGGAAGTGGGGGAGGGCAGCTAGTGAAAGAAACAGTCTGAGAACTAAAGTGACGAATAAAACAAGCAAAACCATAGTAAGAATGTGAAACAACAGAAGCACTTCCACACGGAGAAAGGCTGAGCTGGTCCCCATGTGCCGGACCCTCCACCCTTGCTTCCTTTTATCCTTTGTCCCGCTTGTCCAACCCCCATCCCCATCTCTCCCTCAGGCTCACCTTGGAGTAGGTGGCCCCATTGATGACCTCTCCTTTACGTAGCCAGATGATGGAAGCTGCAGGCTTGGCATTATCCGCGTGGCAGGTAAGGTTGAGAGGGTCCCCTGCCCGAAGGCTGATCACAGGCCCCCCCAGGATGATGGGGTCATCTGGTGGCACTGTGGGAAGAGGAACAGGGGATCAGGTTGGGCAGGTCTCTGCTGGACGTGACAGAGGATAATGAGCAATAATTGTTATACTTTGATAAAGAGAGCCGCCATATGTATTATAATGACCATGATAGTAAAAGGACGTGCTGTTCTTCATCTTGTTATGCTAGGAATGAGCATGTGTGAGGACAAGCAGGTGTCCCTAGCTTGTCATTGTCACAGACCTGGAAGCAGTGCTTTGCAAGTGAGATACTAGGGACCTGCAGGATCTTTACTTTCAACTTAAAAAAAGAGAAGACTTATTTTAAAAGGTATTATTATGATTATGATTATGATTTTATTTTATTTTCAAGACAGGGTTTCTTTGTGTAGCCCTAAATGTCCTGGAACTTGCTCTGTAGACCAGGCTGGCCTCGAATTGCCAGAGATCCTCCTGCCTCTGCCTCCCTAGTGCTGGGATTAAAGGTGTGTACCATCACCACCTGGCCTACGATTTAAAAAAAAATTTTTTTTTTGTGTGTATGCACATATACATGAGTGCCAGTGCTCACAGAGGCTGGAGGCATTGGATCCTCTGGAACAGGCAGTTGTGAGCTGCCTGATAGTTATCTTGGGAACCAGACTCTGGGGTAGTGCCCACTTAATATCTGAGCCATTAATCTAGCCTGACTTCTTTTTGTCAAGCTTTGTTACAACTCTCACAGAAGTGTTACAGGGAAAACACTACTTTTATCCCAATTTTTACCCAGGGAAAACACCAGGGAATTGAGGGTCATCAAGGGACTTGTTCAAGGTCACATGAAGAATGTATGGCAGAGTTGGGGTTGGAAGCTGCATCTTTGATCAGGGTGGTTCCCTTCCTCAGGTAACAGGGCAGGTCTTTGGTTCTTCAGTGTTTGCACCCCAGCCTTTCTTGAGCTCTGTCCGTTAGCATAGCTGCTGCACCCTGGTCCCCACTCAGAAGGAGTCTCCCTTCCTTCCTTCTCTTTCTTTCTTTCTTTCTTTCTTTCTTTCTTTCTTTCTTTCTACATGTAACAGTGTGGTTAGTGACTGGTGGCTCCCATCAGATATCTATAGTGCCAAAGGGGAATGGACATGGCATTGACCCCTTCCTTGTGGAGCAAGGTCCCTTTGCAGGACCAAAATGGAACCCCATGTCTTGAAGCATCTCCGGACATCTGCTGGCTCCAATGAACCACCTTTGATTCCTGTGAAGGCCACACTGTAGGATGGACAGGTATGATGGCAATGAATTATTGTTTAGTAAAAAGAGTCTGGGAAGTCGAGAGTTGACTGACACACGGCTACCTCTGAGGCTGGTGCTTCTGGACATATTTAAGTTTTCCAGGCCTTTACTGCTCCATAGACAAGCCATGGAGGAAGCAGGCTTCCATGGAGACCATCTGAAGAGACTGTCCCCTGGGGAACCTCTATCTTTTCTGACATAGACTGAGAGGGTCCATTCAGTTAGCACTAGAGGCTGGAAGGGGCTCAGGGACTTCCCTGACACACTGGAGGCGGGAACTTTGCATGTTCTCAGGAATGAAGGACAGGTGGGTGTGTGTGTCATCAGAGTTTGAGGACCTAGTGCAGAGGTCTTTTTATGGGCTTATAAGGCAAGCCAATCTTCCAACCTGACCCTGGGCAAACAAACACCTATGCTTGTGGTTTGCAGTGTCTTCCAGCTGCAGAACCTGCTTGCCTTCCTTCCCTCTGTCAGCTCTTGACCTAGTCCACTGGACTTCTCTAACAGGCGGAAGGGCCCCTTGTTTGGCTAAGCCAGTACCCAAAGAAGAAAGCCTTTACGTTGGTCACCTCACCTATCCTTGTCTGGTCTCCACAGAAGGTTGGCTCAGCTTTAACAGCCCTATAGAACCATTTCGTGAGGAACCTCAACTTTGTAGGGCTCTGGAGATGTGACCACTTTTTTTACCCAAACCAGCTCTGGATGCCAAAAAGATCCTGGCCCAGGGAGAAGGTTGGCCTTATCTAACCCTTCTATGCCCATAGCTCTGAAGCCAGGCCTCTCCAGGAGGCCCCAGAGCTGCCAGCCTGGAAGAGGCAGGCGGGTATGAGCTGGACACTGAAGATAACCAACTGCTTGTGCCCACTGTACCCTCTTATTAGTGCCTGTGACCTCCTTGGTGCAGGCGTGGCTGGAGAGCAAAGGGGGCCTAATTAGGGCTTTCCATCAGTGGGGGTGTGACTAGAGACTGATGAAAGGGATTCAGCTTCCTGCAGTGGGGGTAGGCTGGGCCCCTCCAGCAGCGAGGGCTGGGGCTTGCAGTATTCTGTGGAAATTTGGGTGGTTCTGTTCAGCTCTCAGTATAGGCAGTCCCTTTCTCAGCTCTGGGTGCTCAAAAAAGAGGAGCTCTCTTTCCTGAGTTGGGCTGGGACTAGAGTAACTGGTCCTAGGGCAGAAGGACCTCCTGGCCCCATTGGCATCCTCTGCCTTGGAATGATGGGTCAAGAGATATGGATGGCAGAAGGTACCCTGGGTGAGAGGATGACAGTAAGGCAGTGTCTTCAGGAAGAAAGTGTGAGCACTCCCTTTAGCACTGACATGTGTTAGAACGAGACAGGTGTTGGTTGGCAACCTTCTGGGGGAAGTTTCATCAATCCTGTTGCCAGCATGTTCTCTGACCAATGAGATCCCAGAGCATGAAGCTGGTCCCCCAGGATGTGCAAGAGTAACCATGTTTGGGTACCAGATTTCCTCTGTGCTTTTGGTTTAGGTGCATAGAGCTGCTCTGTATTCTGATCAAGGTGTGTGTGTGTGTGTGTGTGTGTGTGTGTGTGTGTGTGTGTTCTTCCTAGAAGCTCATACCAGAGGCCCTATACCTCCCTTCTCTCTTGCTTCACCAGTGTTGTGCTAGAGGAGATTGCTTTAGTAGGATTGGGGATGAGGGGAGCTGGGAGGAGAGAGGGGCTGTGTTGTGGGAATTCAAAAGAATGCAACAACATTCACACAAACAAACACACAACC